ATGGACAGTGATAGTTTGTTAGTCACAAAATTGATGCTATTGCCTTAGAGAATTAATGCATACAATGTTATAACAATGTATATGTGAATGTTGTATGTGTACCTGTTTTATATATCGCTTCAGAGTGCTTTACAGCTCTCTCTAAGCGGTTTATAAAGCCAGCATATTGCCCCCAACAATCTGAGTCCTCATTTTACTGACCTCAGAAGGATGGAAGGCTGAGTAAACATTGAGCTGGTGAGAATCGAACTGCTGGCAGTTGGCAGAATTAGCTTGCAATTCTGCATTCTAACCACTGCTCCACCAGAGCTCTTTTATGCCTAATATGTGCAACACACATTTATGTTGTAGTAATGACAATAGCACTTAGACTTTACAGCACACTCTGGCTGGTTTACAATGTCAGCGTATTGCCCCCAACAATCTCATTTTACTGACCTCAGAAGGATGGAAGGCTGAGTCAACATAATGATATACATAGTGCTACTAAAAGCACATAACAGGATATATCCATTTCCATCCATACCCAGTACTTTCCCCCCTAAAGTCTAAAAATCTTTGATTTCACCTGCCTTATGACACTGGCATATCACTTAATATATTCTGATTCCTACCTTTGATCAGGAAAATGCGTTGCCTTTAAAGTATCTCTGGCAAACTAGTGATTTGTGGAGATAAAACTTGAACATGTATTATTGGAAGGCAGAGGCAGAAATATTAGCATGGTATGAGGCTGTGCTATTGATCTGTATAGTCTTCTTAAAGTTCAATGTAATAGTGAGTGAATACAAAATGACAGAATTTGATGATTGCAACAATTTAGCTAATAATGCTAGGCTGTCTTACCCTCCGGGAAACCAACTTGGTTTTCTTAGGACCAGCTAGTCTCTAATAAGCTGTCCTCATCTTTTTGCTCTACACATAATTCTACAGATCACCCATATACATGTATATAGGTTGGGGGAAAGAGAATGCTGCTTTGCTATGATATCTTTTGATCTATATATGCCAGGTCATCGTGAAGAATTTGTCCACTGGTATGCGAGTAGTTTTGAAATCCCACTATGGCTATGAAATTGATGAGGTGAAAATCCTGGGAAAGGAACGCTACCTTGTTGCCCACACCTCAGATACGCTGCTTCTGGGTGACCTGAGTTCCACCAAACTCAGTGAGGTAACGTGTTTTACATGCAAGATGGTGGGCCAATAGATTTTGGGAGACTGCATAAGGTCTGTTTCTGAATTAGTTGCTGCCCATTGCATTCAGTTAGATACAGTGATTTATTTGTTCAAGCCATAGATTTAGGCTTCACGCATAAAAAAAAAAAATTCCAAACAGGCAAGGCCTTGATCATACCATTGTGGCTGCCATTTTGACTTTTTTGACCACACTCTGCAGACATCCCTGATTCAGATGTCTTTTTGGATTCCTCCAGCCAGGCTTGTTTCTGTATCTCCAACCATGATTAATGGCAAGAGATCAAAGCTCTCCCTGAGTGCCTTTGGCTGTCCTCAGGCTTTCAATTCCCATGAGGCCTCTTCTGCTTATCACTTTGGCTTGGATTGGCTTTTCTGCAGCTTTTTTGGCCGGGAGGATGGTTGTTCATTCATTTTTGCTGGATAACCTTTAAAGAAATGGATGTGAATCTCTTTTTCCCCACCCGTTCTCTCTTTTTCCAAATGTCAATCTTCAGTGCCTGGGACTTCACCATTTTCCTGTGATTTCCCAGAGAGAGACAATAGTTTATAAAAGTCAGCTTAACCTTTTTGAATAGGTCTGTCTCTTTTCAGTTATGGCACCTTAAATTACCGGCAGTTGGAATATAAAGCCAGTCCTGACACTGCTTGAACAGGCTGGTTATTTATGTGGTGAGAGTCTGCGGACTGGGGCTTGGCTGACAGAACTTAATCACTTTGTCGAAAGTTATAAATGATGTGAGCAGCATGCATGCTGAGAAATGGGTGTCAAACTGGATTTCTTCGAGGGCCGGATCAGCACTGTAGTTCTTCTCTGCAGGTGTGTGTGCGCGTATGTGTGTAGACAGGACAGCAGGAGGCCATCCAAGCCAAAAATGGGGCGCGGGGGGCTGAGCATGGACCAGTGTGCCCTGTTTTGACTGCAAAAGAGTACTGTGGGCCGGTCCTTTGCTATTTCCCGGGCAACCTTGCAGGTAAATTAAACCTTGCAGGCCCTTGAGTTTGACACCCTGTGCTAGTGGAAGCATATTATGTGAAGAACAATCTTGTCAAATTGTATCAGACAGGTGTGAATGGCGTGAGCAAGGTAAGATTGTCTGATTTCATGC